CTAACTCTGCAGTCAAAGATTAGACTGGACTGTGGGACATAAAATAATACTTGTGAAGAGTGTGCCTCTTAGCTCAAGTAGATACATGAGACTAAATGGGCAGCTCCGGTCCAGAGGTGAGATGAGAAGGCAGAGAGCGTCAGGAGCTGGTTGAATGGACATGGGAAATGTGGGGTGGAAAGGAGGAGTGTGCTGTCATATTACAGGGATTGCAGCTATGGTCACATAACAATATGTGTATAAATTTTTGTATGAGAAATTAACTTGAGCTATAAACTTTCACCTAAAGCACAACTTCAAAAAAAAAAACAAAAACAAAAAACGTCCTGTGCTCCCTTGTAGTCAAACCCTCCTCTCACCCCAACCCTGGCAACCACTGATCAGTTCTCTGTCCTTACAGTTTTGCCTTTTCCAGAATGTCATATAAGTGGAATCATGCAGAATATAAGAATATTGAGACTGGCTTCTTTCACTTAGCGTAATGCCTTTGAGATTCACTCATGTTGCATCTATCAAGAGTTTGTCCACCTTTGTTGTTGAGTGGCGTTCCATTGTACAAATGTACCACAGTTTGTCAAGTCACCCACTGAGGGGCATCTGGGTTGTTTGCAGATTTTAGTGATTACAAATAAAGCTACTACAAGCATTTGTGTACAGGTTAAAAGAAAACCCTATGGAGCACAACAGTCCGATCCCGTTGTACATGAGGTCACCATGAATTGGAGGCTGACTCAACGGCAGCTAACAAGATAGACCCAACCCTTGTCTACGTGGCGCTCATGTTGTATGAACTGAATAAGCCATCAGACACATAAACATTTAATCAGAAATTGCTGTGAGGGAAGAGAAGAGTGTGTTATAAAAGAGGATCACCTTCCAATTAAAACAGGGATAGACTTCTGAACGCTGATGCTAAGAGTCAAAGGATAAGACTTGGCCAGGGGAAGAGTAAGGGGAAGCGTGTTCCAGGTGGAAGAGCAGCAAGTGCAAAGGCCCTGAGGCAGGAACAAGTGTGGCTGAGCTGAGTGAGTATGGGGAGAGTGGTGAGAGGTGGGCAGGGGCAAGATCATAAGCGACTTGCAGGCCTTGGTGAGGAAGCCTGGTGTGGGGGGTGGGGGGTGCCACTGAGGCATTTGTTGGGGGGAACTGAAGTAGAAAGGGTAAAAACCACTCTGGCTGTTGTGTGAAGAATAATTATTGGGAGACAGAAATTAAGATGGGGTCATCAGGGAGGAGGCTGGTGCAGGGTCATGCAAGCCAGAGATGAGGGTGGGGGTGGGCGGAACAAGGATGATAATTGTAATAATACTAACAATTGTAGTTATCACCATAGTCACAGCAGCTCACATTTACTGAGCACCTACTATGTGCTGAGCTCTTCAACGCATTCACCACTGGTGCTATTATTATCCCCATTTTGCAGCTAAGGAAACCAAGGTACAGAGAGGTTAAGTGTTTAAGATCACTGAGCTGGGAAGTGAACAGAACAGGTATTTAAACACAAGCAGAGTCAGTATGGAGCCCTGGTGGCACAGTGGTTAAGAGCTTGGCTGCCAACCAAAAGGTCGGCAGCTCAAATCCACCAACCACTCCTTGGAGATCCTATGGGGCAGTTTTACTCTGTCCTACAGGTTTGCTATGAGTCAGAATCGACTCCATGGAAATGAGTTTGATGGTTTTTTTTTTTTTTTTTTTTGGTTTACAGTCAGTACTCTTAGGTGTATGGGAAACAAGGGGTGGAGTTTGAGAGGGATTTAACATAACTTGGAGGGAGACAGAGGGAAGGGCCCAAAGGAATAACTTGTTAATTCATGCATTCATTTATTCACTTATTTACTGTTTATCTAGCTGAGTAAATAAATACTCCCCAGGCTCTTCATGGAGCCCTGGTGGCATAGTGGTTAAGAGCTATAGTTACTAACCAAAAGGTCACCAGTTCAAATCCACCAGCTGCTCCTTGGAAACCCTATGGGGCAGTTCTACTCTGTCCTATAGGGTCGCTATGAGTCAGACTCGACGGCAATGGGTTTGGTTTTTTTGGGTTTTGGGCTCTTTATGTGCCCTGAGGTCCTCAGCCGCCCCCTCTGAACTTGTGTTAGCTATGGTGCTCACTTAGATTCTGAACGATTCCTGGGAAATCTTTTATCTCCCGAAAGGCACAGGCCGTGGAAACAGGCAGACCTGGGTTCTGGGTTCAAATCTTAGCTCTGCTAGTTCCTACGTGGGTGGCTTTGGCAAGTCATTTCTCTTCCCTCAGGTAGGTTTGCCCTCTGTAAAGTGGGTAACACGTCCCTACCCTTCCTTGGGTTGTTGCCAAGATTAAATGAGTGACCTTGTACAAAACATACAGAAGAGTGCCTGGCAGTCACAAGTCCAGGGACAAGTGTCTGGGCCCAAGTGACAGCCCAGTACAAGGAGATGAGATCCACATTGGTGGGAATGAGGTCCACTTGGGTGTAGAAGCCCCACGTCCCACAAGAGCCAATAACTCAGGGGACGACTCCACAGGAATGGACCCAGCTCCCCACCAGGGATTTGCTGACAGGCTGTTCACTATCAGGCATCATTTTACCTGAAGTCACGTTCCTGGCAACAGAGCTGACATGCCATCCCTATCTGGTTTCCACGGGAATGAGCTAGAAAGTTAACCCAAGTTTCATTTCTCATACAGAAGAAGAAAGGGTTCTAGTAACCCTTTACCCAAACAAGGATAATAATAAGACCTACTTTTAGGGATTTTGGTTTTTCTGAGCAAAAAAGGAGATTATATTAGGTTGAATCATGTCAAATTGCCATTAGTAGACCATTCTCACCACCAAACAATAGCAATTCCATATGGCTCAAACTGATAGAAAGGCTTAGAACAGACCCTGGCCTATATTAAGCTCGAAAAACTTTATTATTAGTATTAATAATTAATTAGTAATTAAATGACAAATGATATGTTATATAATATCCACCATCTAATTATAAACATAGTAACACTATTCTAACATGAGAATATCATTAATAATAATCAATATCTAATTAACAGCGATATTATTATATGTATTACAATTAATTAGTGATTGATTATTAATAACGATATAGCAATGATTGTGAGGATGGCACAGGACCCGGCAGTGTTTTGTTCTGCTGTACGCAGGGCCACTATGAGTCGGAGCCAGCTTGACGGCACGTAACAACAACAACAAGTGATATTTAGAATATCGTTAACACACTTACTATATGGTGTACATTATACAAAAAGATTTTATATAATACATAATATCATTTGTCATTAATGAACTACTGATTAATTAATATTAAAGAGTCCCTGGGTGGTGCAAATGGTTAACATGCTCAGCTGCTAAGTCAAAGGTTGGAGGTTTGAGTCTCCCCAGAAGCACCTCAGAAGAAAGGCCTGGTGATCTGCTTCTGAAAAAACTCAGCCACTGAAAACCCTACGGAGCACAGTTCTCCTCTGACACACAAAGGGTCTCTTCATGAGTCGGAAGCAACTCAATAGCACCCGGTTTAACTGGTTGGTGCAAAGACACACACACACACGTGTATCCCTAACAGCGTCGCTTAAGTTGCAAAAACCTGAAATCACCATTTGCAGAGGGCTGGCTCAATGATAACATGGTAGAATAGTGTACCACCCGGAAGCCCAGTAGGGTTAAGAGCATAGGCTCTGAAAACAGAGTGCCTGGGTTTGAATCCCAGCTCTGCCATATACTAGTAATTTAACCTCTCTGCCTCACGTTCTTTGCCTAGAAAATGGAGATAAAAGAGCCTACCTCATAGAGTTGTTGCAAAGACTAAATGAGTGAATTCATATACAGCATTTCTAACAGTGCCTGGCATACTATACCCCATTGCCGTGGAGTTGATTCCAACTCACAGTGACCCTACAGGACAGAGTGGAACTGCCCCATACAGTTTCCAAGGAGCAGCTGGAGGATTCAAACTGCTGACCTCGATTAGCAGCCATAGCTCTTAACCACTGCGCCACCCAGGTTCCTGGCATGCTATAAGGACTCAATAAATATGGGCTGTTATTATTGCTACTGTTAACATTGCTATAATTACAGTCATCAAAAACGACCAGCAAGTCTAAATGTATCAATAAATGTATCAATAGAAAACCATCTCCGTGATATACGACGAAGTTATGAAGGAGCAACTAGTAGCAGCCAAGATACACATTTCTGAAAAAACAAAATTTGCACGCTATAATAAGAGCTACCAACTTCTAAGCATTCACTGTGTTTCCAGACAACTGAACAAAACCTTTCATCTAACATTCACCCCGACTTCATGTACAACATTCTGATATTTCCTATTCTAGTTCATTTAAAAAAAAAAAAAACTATCATATCAAAGTCTGGCCCATTCATAAGTTGGAGACCCCAGTTTTAAGATTTGGAAGGATACTCAGGACACCAGTAGCTACACCGCTTCTGGGGATGGGGAGTGGGGTGGGGTACGGGGGAGGCTGTGGGCCAGTGCTGGGGAGGCCTTCTTAGCAATGTACCCTGTTTGAGCGCTTTCAAAATTTATTCCCGGGTGTACATGTTCCCATTTTGCCATTTTGTTGGGGGAGGCATGGCTGAGGAGGTTAAGGAAAAGAAGAAAAAACCCAAAAACCAAACCCGTTGCCGTCGAGTTGATTCCGACTCACAGTGACCCTACAGGACAGAGAAGAACTGCCCCATAAAGTTTCCGAGGAGCATCTAGCGTATTTGAACTGCCAACTTTTTGGTCAGCAGCCATAGTCCTTAACCACTATGCCACCAGAGTTGCCAGCAAAGAAGAAAGAAAATAACAATAAAGCCGGAGCCTGATAAAGATACCGCTGATTAACTTTCCCCATCGCTACTCCCAAGCCTGCCCAGGACAGAGGAAGCCACAGTGGAAGTTGTGGGACCATTTCCGCCCCCCGCAATAGGCCTGTCTAGTCTCAGCCCCTCCCCACCGACACTGAGACTCAGGGAAAACAAGCAGTGGGGAGCCACCTGCAGGGAGCTGTGAACAGAGAAGAGGCAGGATGAGGTAGTGGTGGCAGCAGTGTGGGCAGTGGGGTCCTGGAGCACCACCAACTGGCGGTCTGTCTTCTGGGTGAACAGGAGCTGTAGCAGATGGGATGAAGGTTAATGGGAGCTGGAAGGGTCACAGAGGAACAGTCAGGCCCCAGATGCCCTGGCCCATGCCTCCAGGGCCAGCCCATTTCTCAGATGGAAACACTGAAGTCCCGAGGAGAGCTGGAATGTGGTGCTTAGTGTCCAGCCTCCCAGCATAAGCTCAACTGTGGGCAGAGACTGCTGGTTTCCTGACAAGCAGGACCTGGGGACCTGGACTTCAGGATATGAGGGAGGAGGGGGCTGACGTCTGGACTCCTGGGTCTGAGGGAGGAGGGGGCTGGGGGCCTGGACTCCTGGGTCTGAGGGAGGAGGGGGCTGGGGGCCTGGACTCCTGGGTCTGAGGGAGGAGGGGGCTGGGGGCTGGACTCCTGGTGGGCCTGCAGGAGGAGGGGCTGACAGGCACATGAAACCCCCATACCTTAGTAAGGGCCTGGTTGGGCTCAGAGAAGTCCCTGCCAGGTGTTCCCTGAAGGTGATTAAGCTCCAGCAGTCGGCTCCGCTCCTAGGGGAAGGCAAGACAACAGGGGCACCCACCTTTCAAAGTTGGAATGGGTCATCCCAGCAGCTTTCCCTGATGCCAGGAGACATGTAGGGTGCAGGGAAGTGGTGGGGTGCCAGGGAGGAAGTGAGGATATAGGACCAGGTCTCTGGGGAGATTCACCTGAGTCAGGGCCTGAAGAGCCTCCTCCTTCTTCCGGCTCAGCCCCCGGCTCTCAGCCGCCATCTGCTCCCCCAGTGACTTGAGCTGCTCCTCTAAGACCTGGATCCGGCGCTGCAAGTTACCCCAACAACCAAGTCACTCAGCTGCCCCCAGACTCCCAGCTGGTTTCCCATGCCCACCTTCCCCCAGAATCCGGTCCTCCTTGAGAGCCTGAGGTTTGCGCCACCCGCTCACAGAGTCCCTGGGACTTGGCTGCCCGGGGGAGGGGACTCTGAGTTGAGCTCCTTGGTGCCCATTTCCCTTCAGGGGTCCAGAAGAGATCTAGGGTGGGGTGGGGGAGTAGAGAATTCGTTATACACACCAAAGCTGAGGGAGTCTGTCACAGAGATCGAGAGCCAGAGAGCGTCACCGAGAAAAGAGACGGTGAGAAACGGGCAGAGGAACAAACCAGATAAAGACACAGAGAAGAGGGACCAAGACGGACCGAAAAGATAGAGGTGGCGAGAAAGGAGACAAGATGACAAAGAGGACAGAGACAGAGAGGGACTACCTGACACAGAAGAAGGGAAAAGAGAGAGCGACAGGGAGAGGTCCAGAAACAGAGGTGGGTAAAGGAGATGCACGTCAGAGCTTTCTAATCCAGTAACTCTGGGAAACTTTGTTTTAAATACAGTCAAACAAGTTGCCTCCCCCCACCGCAGGACTTGGCCGACCCTTGAATGTGAAGCTCCCAGAAGGGATTGGTGGGAGCGTCTTCTAGGACTAGAGACTGAGAAGCATAGAGTGTTACGGTGAAGACTGAGCAGGTTCAAATGCCAGTTCTACCCACTACAAACTAAGTGGCCTTGGCAACAATGACATGCACACCTGGAGCTTCAGTATCTCCATTTATAAAATGGAAAAAATAATAATAGGGCTCATGTGGTGCAGTGAATTGCTTTTTATACGGCCTTTCTAGCCATGGTCTTGTAACTCCCAGGAAGTGATTGGGTGGGACTATGCAAATAAGGTACATGGAACCCATGCGGGGGTTGCTAATGCAAATAAGGTGCATGGAACCCTAACGAGGGAGCTGGTCAGTTTTGTCATCCCACTAGGCTTAACAGAGCCAATCCTACACCGGCTGAAGGGGACCTCGTTACCATCAAGAATAAGAGCTGGGAGTCGAGCGCATTCTTTGGACCCAGAGTCCTTGTGCTGACAACTTCCTAGACCTGAGACAGAGAGAGAGCTGTAACACTGGAGATGACATGAGATGGCAAGAAGAGGTGGCATGCACAGCAGAGTCCAGGGACAGAGAAACAGTGGCAGCAGAACAAGGAGACTGGAGTGACATGGCATAGTGGGCTTCCCAGCCCACAGAGCAAGGTGGCTACAGTGGGCTTCCCAGCCCACAGAGCAAGAGAGCTGGGCGCCTTCAGGCAGGAGCCTTGCTGGCAGAGTGGGGTGCCTCCGGATACTTACCAGCAGAGGGTTAGAGTTATAACACTTGCCCAAGATGGGCCTGGTGGCAGAGGCCTGCCTGCAGGCACGGCCAAAGAACAAGCTGTCCTGATCAAAGAACTGTATCCCAAGTTGTTCCTGTTACTTCCAAATTGATCATAATCCTGAATTGTAACATATTACTTCCCTAATAAACCCCATAATCGTATGGCTGTGAGTTCTGTGTGGCTGTTGCAATGAATTATCGAACCCAGCAGAGAAGCAGAAAGTGCCGCAGGAGGGACAGCTGGTGTCAGAATTGGTAAAAAGGTTGGTGAGAGGAGGTATGTCTGATTTCCGCCTCATAGGAATCATCTTTGGGTTGATGGTGATTCTCATTATCCCGCCTTAAGGCAGACAGGTTCTGACGCTACTACTTTCACCATTTTACAACTTGCTTCATGCAACTGTTGTAAGCATTCAGTGAGTTAATACTCTTGATATGCTTAGGACAGTGCCTGGCACATAGTAAATGGTCAGTAAATGTCAGCTACCCTTGTTACTATTCTGAGAAGCACAGGCAGGAAACCAGGACAGAGAAAGGCCTAGACACAGAGTAGAGGGAACGGAGAGCAATGGCGAGGGAGGCAGGCCCAGCCGCACCCGACTCACCCTGTGCTGTGCCACACTGGCCTGAAGCTCCTGGATCTTGGGGTTTGGTGCCGAGCCTCCAGGGCCCTCCCGACCCTCCTCCTCCTGCCAGCTCTCCCGCTCCAGTTGCTGGAACTCCATGTCCTCGTAGGCACGCTGGGCCACCTCCAGCTGTTCCCGGATCTGAGGGCAAGGGCAGAAAAGAGCTGAACATCTGGACCCCAGGGCCTAGGGACCAGGACTCCTGGTCAATAAGGAAGGAGGGGCTGGGGGCCTGGACTTCTGGGTCTGAGGGAGGAAGGGCTGGGGGCCTGGGCTCCAGGGTCTGAAGGAGGAAGGGCTGGGGGCCTGGGCTCCAGGCTCTGAAGGAGGAAGGGCTGGGGGCCTG